CCCAACATCTATAACAGTGCCTGACACATAGTAGACACTTAGTAAGTATTTGATGAATGAATAAATAGCTATTATTAATGGAATGTCTGCTATGTGCTAAGCACTGTTATAGGTGCTGCCCATGAATGAACGTATTTGAACTTTCACAGCAATGCTGAGAAAGGTACTATCATTATTCCAATTTTACAGATGAATAAACTGTATCAGAGGCACAGACATATTAAGTAACTTGCCTAATAAGTAAAGGATACAGGATTTCAACCTATATGGTCAAACTTTAGAACCTGCCTATGTAATAACAATCCTATACTGAGGCTCAGAAAGGTCAAATAACTTGCACAAAGTTACGCAGCTTATGACTGGCAGAGTCATGGGTGGAAACAAGATCTGCCTGTCTCAGAAGTTGCTGCGCTTCCCTCTGCCCTTCATGATTTGTAAGATTGCCAAGACAAACATTTCTTCCATCACCATTTTACCAAAGACAGTCTTCTAACATAAAGAAATGGGTGTGGTTCATTAAGGATTCAGATAAAGGAAACAAACATCCCCCAGAAGAATCATGAGTCCCAAAAGATCACCAATCTGCAACCAGCTTTCACTGCTGTTATTTGGGGCTGGAGGGAGCTGAGGGAAGCAGCTGGCAGATGAATCATGGGAAACTCCTGGTGGAGCCATCTATGCTACCTTATCTGAGGGCTAGGCATTGAAGGTAAGTCACTTTCATGCAGGTGAATCCTGACCCAAGCTGCACTAGATAGCTCTGGAGTAGGGATGGTGAGGAGATGCCAATTAAGCTTTTCTAAGAGACTAGTTCATAATTCATTGTGTGACCTTGTGTAAGATACTTCCTCCCATTGTGTCATAATTTCTTTATGATAGGGAGACATCAGACCAGTGAAACTCTGTTCAATCAGAAGAGCGAGCTCCACTGTCTCTTTATAAACTGGACTTTTTCATGTAAAATTTCATTTGGAGAAAGAATTTTACCACTAAAAACTATGCTTGAGAAACCGGTGAATAAAAAATATTTAAGTTCCTTCTAGCTCAAACATTCTAAGAATCTAAAATCATAGACATTGTGAGTGGGTCAGCTCAGTGTTCCATTCAGCCCTACTTTTGACAGCCAGAAACAGGCCAAGGATCTGCTCTGAAAGGCTCTTCACAGGTCCCCATGCCCCAATTTCTTTCAGAGGCCATTAACACTGTCCTCATATAGCAGTTGTCTTCTCCATTGGGCTAATCCTCCATAGGTCTTCTACTGATGTCTGTCTATGTTGGAGTGGGTGGAGCACAGGAAATGATGCACAAGGTCAATATTTGCAGTACAGTTGTATTTCTGTTTTATATGAAAGGAGTCGGCCAGTTGCCGTGGCTCAAGCCTGTAATCCCAGCACTTTGGGAGGCCGAGGCGGGTGGATCACGAGGTCAAGAGATCGAGACCATCTTGGTCAACATGGTGAAACCCCGTCTCTACTAAAAATACAAAAAATTAGCTGGGCATGGTGGCGTGCGCCTGTAATCCCAGCTACTCGGGAGGCTGAGGCAGGAGAATTGCCTGAACCCAGGAGACGGAGGTTGCGGTGAGCAGAGATCATGCCATTGCATTCCAGCCTGGGTAACAAAAAGCAAAACTCCGTCTCAAAAAAAAAAAGAAAAAAAGATAGCATTTGCTGATTGCTGATTTTCTCCTAACACTCCTCTTATTGATGTCCACCACCAAAAGACAGTAGATCTGACTTATGGACCACAGTAGCATATTATTCCCTGAGGATTGCCACTGATCTATAAATATTCCTGAGTCCCTTGTCTGAGTCACAACCAGAGCTGTATGCTTAGTTTGGAATTTTTAAATTTCAGTGGGTTTTCTCACACAGGCTCCCCACACAATTTTGTAAGTTCTTCTTTTGTCTCATTATTCTTGTCATAATATACAGGCTTAAAGATTCCACTGGGTTCACCTTCCTGGAGACAACTCATAAAGTTTTACCAAAATCTGGGTTTCACATATACAATACAACTCCCTTGATATAAAGCTTTAAAACAAGCAAAAATAATAATACATCGTTTAGGTATATGTGTTTCTATATTTTTTAAAAACCAAGGTAATGATAAATACAAATTTCAAGAGAGTACTTACCTGGGGCAGGGGTAGGGGTAGGAGTGTTATCACTACAGGGAGATAGACTAGTAGAGTAGTATATAGATGAAAGTAACTATCAGTAATGTTGTAGTTCTCGGGTTGGATAATGGGTTTGTAGGTGTTTATTATAGCCTAAATAAATAAATGCAATAAAGTATGAAAAGTTTATGTATGAACTAATAATGATTAATTCTGCACCCCAAGTTCAAAATCAATGATCAGAAGAGCAATACAAGATGTTTTTGTATTAACCAGAACCTCGCCACCATAAATACTTTCATTTTCTCTTTCCTTCCACTATTTCAAGAGTTTTTGAAACTGAAAGTGGATCAGAGCTCTAGTTTTCCCTCTTTTTAAATTTATCTTCCCCCTCAATTAATGCCCATAATCTAGTCAGGTTGGAGTTCTTGCTGAAAATATGTTGCATTTTCCCACAAGACTATTTTTGTATAGGATTCATGGATCCTCATTTTTCTCTTGCCAGTTGGTATGAATCTGAGAATTACCAGGTACCATTTGAATCATTTTGGTTAAAGGGCCCTGATTGCTTATTCTAGCCTTCCAGCCCCATGACCATTATTAGTAATGAAAGGTTCTTTTTGGGGTGACAAATAATATAATACAGGATGCCCAGTTAAATTTGAATTTCAGATAAACAATGAATTATGTTTAACATATGTATGAATTTGAGATATACTTATACTAAAACACTATTTACCTGAAATTCAAATTTAATTGGAAATCTTGTTTTTATTTGCTAAAACTAGAAACCCGATCTCATATGGGCCAATAATTACTCTTTAATAACATTGTTGGATATGGGTCGATGTGAGTGTGAGCTTCAGGTCAAGCAGACTCAGATTCAAATTCTGACTCGTCTGCTTAATTGCTAGAACAGGTATTTTTGTCTCAGGATTTTTTACCTATTAAATAGGAATAATAGCAATACCTCATAAGGCTGATGACAATATTAAATGAAAAAAATACTTGTGTAGTACTTAGTATACTGCCTGGCTAAATACTGTTACCATTATTATTGGCTGTTATCATCAATGGCTATTATCATTATTTTTGGATGTTATCATCATTATTGCCAATTTTTTACACAACATTATGTGCATCTGCCAAGATTTGACTTGATATTGCAAAACTCTCGACTTAGAGGATTAATTTGAGAATGGGACTTTTCTTAGCATCGCCCTTGGTGATGACCAAGACGTCCCTTTTGTTTCTGAGTGTTGTACTCCCTTTGGCACTTGTCATGAAGTACCCCAAACCTTTCTCTGGTTGGATTTTTCCTTTTAATATAAAGACCTTTCCTATGTTGTATTTGAGGGTCACTTAGAATTCTTCAAGTTGAAGACTATTGTTTCCTACGATGGAGATGGTTAAGTGACTGATAATCACTTTTGAAATGCTACCCTCAAGCCAATGGCTAATGACTTTGGTTGATAAAAAGAGAACAGCCCTAATCAACATAGATTTGAATGGAATGCATGGAAAGCAAAATACCACATCCACGGAGAACTCTCTCTCTGTCACAACAGGGTCAAGAAATGAATTAAATTGGTTTTCCACTTGCCTTCATGCTTTCAATACCTTCTTTATTTTGGGTGCCCAATGTATTCACTATTTCTCCTCTCAGGGAAAACTCTAAACCTCCTACACATTCTCTTCTCTGACCCACTCATGCCGATCAAAACTTACCCTTCTGCTTTCCCACTCATCCTGGCATCTAATCAGACATTAATTTATCTTACCACAATAACTGCTAAATAAGATTCTATTTAATCCCTCTCCCAGGCAACAGACTTCTCTTAAACACCTGAAGAAGTAAACCTAACAGTGATATGTAGGGTTTTCTAGTAGGTAAGGGAGACCATGCAGGACCCCTTAAATCACACCACATTATGCCTGTTGTGTCTTCTTCACATGAATGGAAGTGAGCAGTGGTGCAGATAATCTAAAGATCATTTCCACTTTGGGAATGCAACACACAGTGTTGTTATAGCTGATTTGCTTTGCTAATTATGTTCTACTGAAGCTAATATTAAAATTGGTTCACATTTTTTAAGCTCTTATGGGCCAGAAGAGAGAAAAGGCACGATGTGGCCCACTTTGAAATGAAGGAAAGGTGACAACTGTGAGGGGGATGTGAAAATACTACATGTGGGCTAATGGAGTCTATAAGATACATGCAAAAGGATCAAGATAGAACTTTCCCAATTACACGCGGGTTGAACAGGCAGCCAGTTAACCCCTGTGACTCAGTGAGCACTGAAAGGACAGTCTTCCCATGGCCTGCCCAGAGCCTTACATCCTCTAAATTAATGGCCAACATTAAGGGTCCTAATAATAACGTAACTGTGGCTAAGGCATTATGTAACCTCAAGGGTAACATATTTCCTAGCAGACATATTAGCAGTTAGTCTGACTAAATTCTCAGTTACCTATGAGAAAAAGGAATGAAGGGTGGTACACAAAACAGTTGTACTTTGATGGGGTCATCAGTACACTAAGAGGCCCCAGGGCAGCTAAAGTGTAAGTATAAGAGCCCTGAATGCCTTGGAGATGAACTGGGAGGGTTTTGAAAGGGAGTAAGACAACCTTCACCTCTATTTTTCCCACATTTTCTTAGTTTCCAGCTCATTGTACACATAGAGAGTGTGTACTTGTATCAAATTAATTCTTCCCTTTCTTACTCTTCTCCTGTTGGGTAACTGTGTTTTCAGGGGCTTCTAGAGGTTTTCTTTTGAGGTATGCAATTTGAAGCCTAATTGTATATTGTATTTCTAACCCTACAAGCTGCAGCAAAGGACCACTGAGCTATTGAAATCTTTTTCTCTTTTTCTCATTGCAGTCTGCTCCCAGTTCTCGAGAGGGGTGTATGCCATCTTTGGATTCTATGACCAGATGTCAATGAACACCCTGACCTCCTTCTGCGGGGCCCTGCACACGTCCTTTGTTACGCCTAGCTTCCCCACTGACGCAGATGTGCAGTTTGTCATCCAGATGCGCCCAGCCTTGAAGGGCGCTATTCTGAGTCTTCTGGGTCATTACAAGTGGGAGAAGTTTGTGTACCTCTATGACACAGAACGAGGTAAGAAGAGACATCTGCTCTCCTCTTTAGATATTCATGTAATTGTGTTCAAATTTCCTCAGCTCCTGTGCCCTTTGCTTCCAGTAAATAAAATCTAATCATGTTTTAAAATTGTATTTAATACTCCAAATCAAAGATTAAGATAAAAGAATCAAAAGTAACAGTAATTTTAGAATTTAATTTTTCAAGTTATGTAGGCCCTCCCTGAAAAAGCAGTTTGGAATATACTCTTGGTTGAATCACAATTGTTGAAAAATAACTCCTCCCCCCTCAAAAATTTTATCCAGTCTAAAAGGTGTAAAGTAAAAGCAGCTTAATCTAAGTAAAGAGAGGCTTAAACTGGAAAGTTTTGGAAAATTAATCCTGTCAGAAATTGTAATTATCCCCATTTTGTAGATGAGACAACTGAGTCCAAGTGCTTTTTCATACAGCAGTTTCACCACTGAAGTGAGACTGGTAGCAGTGTCTCTTGTTTCCAGGACTTGCTCCATCAGATCACATTAGGATTTCAGCTTACCAGGCCTCAACAATTCTCTGATAGAAATAATGAGTAAAACAGCTAAACTGGGCTTTGGGGATTGATTTTTTTTAATAGTGAGACATTCTACAGCCATACCACCCTTAACATGGCCAGTCTCCTCTAACAGTGAGACAATATATTGAGGATACACTCTATTGAAACAGACTCAGAAATGAACACTCTGATCTTAAATAATATACAGTAAGGTATATTGATTAATTCGCTAGAGCGCACACATTGTAATTCATCTAAACAGGCTCCTCTAACACCCAGTTGTCTTTGACAGGTTCCTTGGTAAAACCAAGAGATCCTATCACCAAGACATTCCAGAAGACAATGTTACTTTATCAGTCATTTGCCTGTGGTTCAGCTTAGAGGCCTGGTGTAGTTCTCTCTAACTCAGAATTTTTAAACTCAGAAGAAGTAGCAAATGAAAGGCCTATCTTCCTGAAGGGTACCTGGATAAGAGGTCCTTCTAAGAAACTTAATGTGAAGGGCCATTTTGCTCTTGGGAATCCAGAACACTCTTCACTTTACTCTCATTTTGCTGCATCATCAAATCTTAATAGGAAATACTTAGGCCTGTATTTGCCTATTGTACTTACCTCTAAACTGTCATCAAATTTCATGAATCTGAAGCAGGAGACCAGAGGTCTAGTCCAAGCTCTGTTACTAACTAGCTCACTGACAAGTTGACCTTGACCAACTCATTGATGTGCTCTTGGGCTTGGCCTCCTCATCTAAGGTGTGTCCCCTCTTAATGTCACATTCTATGAATCCGTGATTTTTTTTGCGGTATTAGACCAGATACTGATACTTTGTATCTTGCCACTAACCCTAAATGATATATTCAATGAATTTAGTCAATCCATTCTGCAAGCCATTATCAACCCCCAATGTTGGTCGCCAATCCTGTGATAGAAACATATATAATATGGTTTCAAGGGGGTGTGGACAGAAAAGGATATTCATGAAACAATTCATGAACAACACGGAACAATGTCAAATTGAGTGCTACACTGTAGACTCTGAATACTTCAAGAATTGTGAAAAGGTTGCACTCCAGAAAAGTAGAGTTTTCAGAAAAAGCTTGCTAGAGAAGCTAACCTTGAAAGATAGATAAGTTGTGGGTTGCAAGAGGGAAGGGAGATGGGGCTTTGGGGAGGGGAAAAGACAACAAAGGGCAGGATCAGGAAGGAATACTGTGTGTTCAGGTAGCGCCCTAGCTGACTGAGATACCAAAACAGCTTGAATGTTCTAAATCACCCAAATTTTAATTAATTTCATTTTGTCCAAACACAGAGTATAAATTAACCTGTTTCCATGTACTGTATACAGTGTAATCTAGTGCATGTCAATTTCATTTTCAGAACCGAAGTTTGTAAGTCAGGCAACTTCTCTCCTGAAACATTTTAAAAATTAAATATTGGTTCCACCAACACTGTAACCTTTCATTTATTCAAAAGCAGAAGACACAATTAATGAACTTTATCCTCATCTTCTGTGACCCTTCTCTGCTCATTAGCTCTCTACTAGAAGAACCTGAGGAAAAGATTATCTATTTATCCTTGTATCTTTTCTCTAATCATCTAACTAAATAGTTTGGACAAGTTTACGGTTTTGGAGTCAAAGAAACCTTTACTCATGTAAATTTATACTTTTCCCCTGTAGCCATTTAGCTGATGGGACTAATCTGCTCTACTTAGGAAGTACTTCCCATAAACTTTTACACTAATTTCCCCCTTACTACGTTACTGTAAAGCCTTCTTATGTTACTGTACTAGGATCCCATTTCAAAATTTGTAATGGCTTTCTATTGCCCACATTGAAAAAAGCAGTCTATTCTTCAAGATTTGACATGATTATACCTCAACCAACTAACTAACCCATTCTCTCTATGCTACCTAATGAGAACCTCCCATTGTAGGAAGCTCCATTTTCCACTGTTGCCTAAATGAACCAGAGCTATTCCTGCCTCAGCAATCTTACTAATACTACTACTTGGAATTCTCTCCTTCGTCTTGATATGGTAACCATTCTTCCAATTTTCAAAACCCACTTCAACCTCTACCTCCCCAAGGTAACCTTCCCTGACCACTCCAGCTCACAATGATTCATTAATGCAATAGATGCTAAGGCTACAATAAAAACGAGATAGATATGGTTAGATATGGTTCCTGCTTTATAAACCTACATTCAAATGATGGAGATAGACAAAAAACACGTAAATTAACAAATAAAATAATTTCACACTTAAATAAGGTGCTATGAAGGAAACAAAGACAGATAATAATGGATAGGGTTTAATTTCCAAAGGATTTTCAGTGACGGCCTCATTGAGAAGGAGCATTTAAGCTGAGGACTGAAGGATTGGAAGGAGGCAGCCATGTGAAGAATAGAGGGAAATAGTTTCAAGCACTAGAAATAGCAAGTGCAAAGGTCATGTGGTATGGTTTAGGAATTAAAAGAAGTCCAGTGTGGCTAACGTATAACAAGTAGGTAAGAAATGGCCTGCGAGGAGACCATAGAGGTAGACAAGAGCCAGATCATAGCCATAGAGTATAAACAGAAGCCATGCTGAGGAGTATGAATTTTATTCTAATTGCGATGGGGAGTCATTGGAGGATTCTGAGCAGGGAAGTCACATGATCTAAATTTCTGTAGAGAATGGAGTGTGGTGCAAGTAAAGAAGAAGGGAAAACAATTGAAAGTCCATTGTGGTCATTCTGATGAAAAATGATGGTAGTTTTGGACTAAGCTGAAGATGGAGAAAAAGGGATGAAGTTGAAATACGCTTTGGAGACAGAATTGACAGAACTTGGGGATAGATTGACTGTGGGACGTGAAGGAGAGGAAGGATTCCTGGATGACTACTATGTGTTTGGCTTGAGAGACTGGGTAAAATGGTAAGATGGTGATGCCATTTATTGTGGTGACCGGACAGGAGACTTGGTTTTGAGGAGCAGAGGTCTTGCCCGCCTCTAAACACCCACAGAATGCTTTTGTCCATGTCATTCATCTGGCAGGGAATGTAACTGCCTTCTGCTGTTATTTCACTGGGTGTGCTCTATGCTATACCTTCCCAGGCATTTCTCTCCAGTGTGATAATTAACAACTGGCTAGCCCCTAGATTTATAGGTTGTGGCTCCCGTAGTACATAGCACATGTCTGTGTGTATACTTAGTGTTTTCCAACCTCCTTTACTGATTCATCAGGAATAAGCCCATATCTGTTTTTCAACACTGGACTAAAAGAAAGAAAGAAAGAAAAATAAAGAAGGAAGGGTGGGTATGGGAAGGGAAGAAAGGACGAAGATAGAAGGGAAGAGAAAGAAGAAAGGGAGAGAGGGAAGGAAGGAAGGAAGGACAAGCCCAATTTATAAATCAAACCATTTGGTACAGTTGTTTAAAATATTCAGTATTCGTATTCTGTATTTTCTCATTTTGTGCAATGATCATCTGTTGCTTTAGTAATAATTACAGGCAGAAATTACAATAGAAAATATAATTTTAGTGTATTTTAAATTACATAAGATAGAAGAGAAAGAGAAACAGAAGGGAACACCTATAATTACATTCATAAGCTAAATATAGAAACGATATGACTCTACTGTTTAAGGGCAGGGATGAGTGGGGAGCTGAGAAATGGATTAAATGTTTGAGGTCATTTAAAAGAATTGTAGCACAATCAGGGTAAAGTTTTCTCTGAAATTATGAAACATTGAGTGGATTTCAGGGCTTTGTTGACTCTGCTTTTATTTCTATCTGCAGACAAAAGCCTGATTTGGGGTTTGCAGTTCATCACTTAGTTTCTAAAATACTACCTTGATTCATTAATATAGAGTTGAAAATTACATTCTTGGTGCTATATACATAAAAGATCAGTTTTTGAAAAAATTATGAGGTTAAGTGTGTTGTCTGCCCCATCAGTACCGTTTCCTCTCTATTGCCACCCTCTTTCCTTACTATGGCACTATGTTTACACCTGCCCTCCCTGGCAGGAGCAAAACCTTAACATCTCTGTGTCAACCTGCTTCTACACTGCCATAAAAACTTCCCTGTCCTGCAGTTTCTTCCCACTGATTAATGGTCTTTTTCTGCTAGTGACAACAGCTCAGCTGACCAATTTATTCATGCTAATTTATCTATGGCTATTAACAACTTGATGCATTACAGCATCCAGGGAAGAAGAAATTTCTATTCAGGCAAAGGCCTTCTGTGAATACAGAACCATTATCCAAGGTGTAGCTTTTTAATTCTGGGATTCCAGGCACCATGAGTCCAGTTTGTGAGGTCCTTTGCCCACGTGCCTTCCTATATAGAAAGTCCCAAAACCATGCCAGGGAGGTGGCCATCTCTTCCAGTTATTAGACTTACCTTTTGGGTACAAGTAACCTAGTTCTCTGTGGTGCTAACATTTCCCCCAGAACAGCAACATACTTGAGAACTGCAGCCAGACTCTCGTGCACCTGACAACTCTC